TACAAAACTAATGGAAATCTTTCTCTGGAGGATAAAGTGTGCTGGCGCCAGCAAAGTCTGGATTAGGGTGACCTGATTATTGTTACACCGTGCTTAACAAAATGCATGTTGTTCACTGAAAATGAGGTAGAATTAGCTTGTCCCTAGAAGCCAGCAAGGCCAGGGAAAGCAAAGTGGGTGTTAATTCTTGATCTGGAAAACAAAGGATGTGCATTTAATTAGCTAATATATTTTGCCACTACTGAGATGCCACATCAGCCTCAAGTTACTATAAAGCTACAGCTAAACATTTCTGTTGGAAGCAGCGGTGTTTTCTTTTTCTCCAAGTTACATGAACTCTGCCTCAGAACTTACTAATTCCTTCCAAACATGCTGAAATACCACTGCTTCAGGGAACAGCTTTTGTCCTCAGCTCTTCTAGACCCAACACATCTCCTCAAGCAAATGCTCATCAGAAAGCTGGTTCCCCAGCACCTGGCTCTTCTTCTACTGGAAAACTGCCACTGACTTTGCCAAAACTCCAAACCCCAAAAGAGATGCAACTCTTACCTCCTTCCATCTGATGGAGAAAGACCCAGGAGGCATAGACAGGCTTACACAAGTTTCACAAGAAGTCTTTGCAGAGCCAGGAACAAAATTTAGGTCCACCTGACTTCTAGTCTTGCCCTTTGAACCTGAGATCCGTAGCAGAGACAGAGACACCTTCAGTGTGCGCTAGGGGCACCTCCCAGGGTAGCGCCAGAGGAATGGGGGACAGCCACATTCCCTTCCCCCTCAAGTCCTCCTGCTCCGTGATGGCAGGTCCAATCTGCGCCACACTGAATGCAATGAGGTCAGCTTTTGCAACACATTTGGTTCAGAAGCGATTTGTAGGCTTGTGCTGGCAAAGAAATCTTGGGACTGCAGAACGGATTTTGCTTTAGCCTCAGCATAAGCTGTGATTTACTTTTCTAGCAAAAGCTGCTTTATTAAACATGAGGTCCTGTAAAACTTTTCCTTGTCCAGAGCAAGGCTAGGAATTACCTACCTCGTTTTCACAACAAGAGAATATAAGCTACCACCACAACCTGAACTAGCTCCATGCTGCCCCTCCGTCAAGCAAAGTAAGGTCTCAGAAGCTCCACTGCACCTTATTGCCTCTGCTTACATGTCTGAAGAGAAACACACTGAGAGCGTGAGGAAGTGGTAAAGCTATGATTCAGCCTGTCCAAAGCAGTAATCCACATTCTCAGGCAGAGAATAAGAGACTGAGTCTCTCCAGGGCATCACCGGTCTCTGCTCTTTAGCTCTGGTACAGTTCCCAGGATATTCTGCGAAGTAGTCCAGGACTGCCAGCAGCAACTGCTGTTCGGCAAGGATCCCAGCAAATAACATCTCAATTATAATTACCTCCTGCTTGTCTCCTCTCTAAAAGTAGCAAAGTTAAACAGCTTTGTTCATTATCTCCTCCTGTGGCCTATGCTGTTCATAACCAGAATTTTCACCACGTACTTTTAGCGCCTCTCTGACACAGAAAAGCAACCAGACAACAAATATGCACAAAATGTCTCCACTTGTACAAGAAACACTTGTTATTCTGCACTGCCTCAGACACAGGATAAGAAATCCCACCTGAAACTGCTTTCTCCCATTCTTTCAAGCCCTAGTGTAGAAACAGAAATGGATACAACTGCAGCACTGTGTTTTACAACGACATGAGATAAACCTCATACAAACAGAGGAGAAATAATTCCCAATGAGTTGCCTATCCAATTTTTTTTCCCCTTCTGTTTTGCAGATCACACCAGCAGTCTTCACCTTCCCTGAATTTATTCATTACTCAAATTATTTACTGAGTGATTTCAAGGGTCTACTCTCATCCTGTAAAACTTTTAATTTCAGAAATTTAAGTTGCTTTGCTGAGCTGAGGACAGGCGTATGTTTTATGTGTGTCTCCTTAAGGTGAGAAGTCCTAGAATTACATTTTTGGTGCATCTAGAACTTCACAGTATGCTTTGAACATTGGGAGATAACACAGTTCTGCTCAACAGCAGTCCTTTAGTTGGGGATCACAGTATCTGAGAGTGCAGGCAGAGTTCTTGGTGCTCATGATGATGTTGGAGCATATGGGTGCGAGCATTTTTTACTGCCCTCTCTAGGACATCCAATACCCTGGAGGAAACAGTGTCAATACTACTGCTCTGTGAGGTTTATGGCCTGTAGTGCCCCTTGGAAACAATAATTTAATGGAGTTACAGCTGCTTCTGTGGTCATTAATACCAAGCATCTCTCAGCATCAGACTCTCTAGTAGGTAGCCAAGCACCCTGAAGAATAAGCAGCATCACATTCTGTCACACTTCCAGGGAACCTGGCAAAGATGTAGGGTTCTACAAGGCTGAAAAAAAGGAAGACCCTCCCTGCTCGATTTTTATCAGCATCAGCAAAGCTGACAGAAAAACCATAAAGGACATCATATCCCAGGACCTGCCATTGAAGACAGAGTTCTCTTGATGCCCAGTGGTTAAACCCTACCTCCTGCTGGGTTCTGTGAGACAGCACATATTTCTATATTGGTTTTGGCTAGGATAAAGTTAAATTTTTTTTCATAGCAGCTTGAGCAGGCAGCTCATCCGCTCCTTTCATCTCCATGCTTGGAAAGAAACCAGAAGTGCTGCTTGTGGGACATACACACACAGAGGAGTCTCCTTCCTTCCACGCCTCTGCTTTAACAACTGCACTGTAATGTACCTTTGATACCCAGCCCCACTCCTCCCCTCAAGGCCTCTCCTGTGGCCAGAGAGTTTCAGTACCTTGGACATGTTTGGGAGGCCATGAGGTTCTCTGATCATGTCAGAGTATTCGTTCATGAATAATGATGGAGAAAAGGAAAACCACACCCACAGAGGCATGCTTGTAAAACCTCTGTGGATCTAGTAAAAGGTCAGCCTTTCCCCTCCCCACATCCAGCACGATCATTTCTGGGAACAGATCAATTCTTGCTAAACTACTGAAGCAGTCAAATTAACCTGAGCAAAAAAGAGATGGCTGATGATCATCAAGCACAAGCATGCACTTAAAACACCAGCACACGTAATTTCCAGGACTGACAGCTATAAAGGAAAGGAAATCACTTATTCCACAGTGATTCTGTGTCACCTGTGGTGTCTCTTTTCATCAGGAAGTTCACAAGGCAGGTTTGGGATCAGGAAACTAGGGAAAGGAGGAGCCCTAAAAAGTTAGGAGGTTGGAAATCAATGGCAACTAGAGGAGGAGTGAGAAGAGAGATGCCAGAACATTAAACTACTTACAAATGGCATTGCATTGCCTATTGATTAGAAAATGAAAAAAATGCAGATGAGGATAGAGGGACTGATGACAGAAAAATCAATTACTTCTTTACAGGAGTCATTCAATAGTAGTGAAGGAAATTGGCCATTTTGCAGAAATCACATCAGGTGGGTGTGAGCTGGCACAATCTCCTATTCCCTAAAGGAGGAGGATGTCCAAGCCTTTCACCTCCCACCTGCCTCTCATTAGCTTGTGCTGCTCCAGAGCTCAGTGGAGCGAGGAGAGAGGAAAAAGCCCAGTTGTATTCCTGAGCCTGTTGCCAATGTGTTGGCTGGCCCTAGGCCATCATTCCTGTAAGAGATATTAGATGATACCTTTTCCTGCTACCTAAGTGCTGTGCAGCTCAATTAGCAAACGCTTGCATTTGAATACACCAAACTGTAGAACAAGCAGCTGTTACTATAAATACACTGCTGATCACAGAGTACCACTGACCACACTGTTTATTAAGCTGGAGCTGAGGAAAACCTCACACTCACTGTGATCTACTTAATAGTTCCTACATTTATTCTACTGCGTACCTAAACACATGCAAGGGGCTAACAAAACTGCTTGATTAGATACAGCAGGTCTAGGTCATTGCATCACAGTAATTTCATCTTCACTGCCCATGGCCTGACTGAGGTTGTGAGCAGGATGCCTGACAGCTGTGCCCTGTTACACTTTCCTGATTAATGTGAAAACAGAACATACAGAAGACACTTTCTTTCTAAACCAAGAACACATGAATGAATGATCATAACAAATGGAGAGATCAGATTCCCATGCTGACTGCAGGAACACACAGAGATGCAAATTATTATACTCTGCATCAAGAACACAATCCAGCTTTCCAGCAAAACCTTAGAGACCATCACTGACTTTCATTGCTTATTGACTTTGTCACCCAGATTGCTCTTACTGCTGCACTAAACTTGCTGGGACTCCAGTGGGGAATGACAGAGCAAGAACAGAGCAAAGCCCCTGGCATGACTACTGTTCAAGACACTTATCTTGCAAACATTTCTAGGCCATCCTGGGCATCTAACAACACATGTCTACATCTGTATAGACTTGCCAAACTGCCTTGACAAGAAACAGAGATCCCTTCACTAATTGACTCATTAGTAGAGATAGAGAGGCAGTCAGATCATGACTCATGCAGTCTGAGACATCTCACCTGGGAGAAAATGAACATGACCTAGAAACACTTTATCCCTGTTGCTGTTGATGCCTACAGGAGTGCAATATGACTCCACCCAGCAAGTCAACACAACATTATCTATATATTTTGTCTGGAAGCGGTGAAATCTCTAGATAAAATAGGAGACATCCAGACTGACAGACCTCTGCTTGCAAACAAATGGCTTCTTACAACAGCTACCCACAGATACTGAGAGCAAAAACCTTTAAACTAGCAGCAGCCACTGTTGCATGCTCCTTTTAGAACAGCTCCCACAGTTTCTTCCCATACAAACTTTTTCCCTAGAAAAATCAGCAGCAACTTGACTCTTGGTTCAAGAGTTCAGTCACCACTGAACGCTTCAGCAAGCCCATGCAGAGTGGGATGCAGGGATACAGCAAACACTGGTGTTGATAGACGGGAGGGAGAGAGAGACAGAGACTGTCCCTCAACAGTCTATGTTTTAAGCAGAGTCAAGGACTCATAGGCCCTGCCAGCCAGAGCACTCACCAGGTTGACGAAGTCCTGGTAGCAGATCCTCCCCTCAGAGTTGCTGTCTGCCAGGGCCAGCAAGACCTCCAGCTTGTGGGGGTCCAACTCCGAGCCGTGTCTCTGGAGAAGGGTGCGAAACTTCTCAGTGCTGATGTAGCCGGTGTTGTCGGGGTCGAACTGGGATAGGAGGGGAAAGTGCTAGAATTAACCATTCCACATTACACACAACTCTGCCCTCCTATGCATTCACCACCTGCAGCAGACCCACAGGGAGCCCAGGAGCTGCTCTAGGCTTTGGTGATGCAATGCCCTGCAATCACCCCGTCTCCAGCTTCCTTTCACAGCCCAGGGACTCCAAAGCATCCTGCTGCAGAGAGGGTGAATCCAGGCATCATCACCCACACCATCACCCTGTCTCCACCCAAGCTTCAGCTAAGTCAGCTCCCTTCATCTTTCTTCCCTCTGCATCATCATTTATCTTGGCTATTTTATATCACTTTTTTATCTGGACTCTCAAGAAAACCAGAGATGCAGTCTGTGAGATAAAACATACTGAAATCAGTTTTACTCACGTATTTCCTAACCCAATTGCAACAGAGGAATATGCTGTCCCTCCTCAAACCCTTTCCATGCTCAGTGTTTCTGACAGCCACCTTTCCAGATCACATCTACAGATGCCTTCAAAGTGATAAATGCTTTTACTGCTGAAGAGCTCTCTATTTTTACGATGAACTGAAAAAAGTCTTTAGATAGGGAGAAAAGCAGATGAACGCGATGTCAAACTAAAAGTGACAAGGCAGCCAATGCCGTTTTCAGAACGTAAACCAGAGTCAGTAGAAGGAAAGTCTCAGGTGAGATTTGGAGTGAATCCCACTCTGACCAAAAGCATCAGTGTTTTCCTTCAGACTAGGTGGTGAATCTCCTAAAAATGCCATTGACCAAAGAGAGACAGCTTTGCAAGGCTGTTCAAACTTAAAACTGCTTCCAGCAGGCCTCTAGCCCATGCTGAGCTCCCCAGGGCACTCTGCGGGGGGCTGCCAGCTCACAGGCGGGCACACCTTCAGCCCCAACAAAGCCAGTGCTGGCACCATGCCGAGCACGTTTCTTCTGTGCTTTGAAAACTAGTGGACGCAAGCTGCCAGACCAGCCCGCACTAGCTGGGTTGGAGTCTGATCTCCGCCAGCTCTCTGTTGCTGGGAGATCTGCCTTTGATTTCCCAAACTTGGCTGTGAGGACCCTGGTTCTCAGTGGCCTCCTTTTGTAGATAATGATATCAAGCTTGTTGGCTGGATTGAATGGCTGTCAAGGGGCAGGGTGGTCAGGAGGGAGTCTTTTCATGGAAACATTTGGGACATAAAAGGCCTTGGCAGAGCCAAAAAGGTCCTGACAATCCTCACTCTTTCCTAATGGAGAACAAAAGCTGAACAGGCGCCGGGCCTTTGAGCAGACACAGCAGAGTAAAGGCTGCCTTGGCAAGGGAGGAGGTGAGAAGGGGGATGTGGCAGAGGATACAGCCTGCCAGCGGCAGGGCTGGCTCTGCTCTGCAGCAAGCAGAGAGGCTATAAAACAGAGCAACGTCAGGCACGGGCAGCTTCTTTGAGGACACAGTGCCCACACGTGAGGATCTGGCTCTGTGTCCTTCTGGCCTGAGCACCTTCATCCAGCTGCTCCTGGGGGCTCTGCTACCACTGGTGGCTTTGTTGAGGAACAGCTGTCTAATCTGAGGGGAGATCACAGCCCCTTGCTGGAGCAGGCCTGGTCTGCTATTCTGTCAAAGCAGCAGCCCCTCTGTGAGGAAGCTGCTGGGGCAAATGGATTACACAAAACAAGATAAACAAAGTGACCTGTGATGACTCAAAGCTGGGCACTCTCCCTCTGCCAAGGGTTGTTCTGTCCTTCAAGGTGGCCTGGATGTACTTTCCTGACAGCTGGCACTCAGAGCCAAAGGTGGATTTCATCAGCTGTTCACAGTTAAACAAGGGCTTAATATTAATCCCTGGAGAAGTTTAGCTCCCCTACTCCAGCCCACTCTGATGCTTTGAGTTAACAGATCAAATTCTAAAACCAGTCCCAAAATTAGGGCTTCCGCATGCAGGCTCAGCTCTGATGCTTTTTGGCTCTTGCTAGGACTCCCAAACCAGCCTCAGTTTGTAGTCTCCAATCCCAAAGGCACAGATACCCAGGAAATAAAGTATTATTAGCATAATACCTGAGATGACCTCTCTCAAGGGGAATTTGCAGAAGCTGGGAGATGAGTCATTCAGTGAATGGATCTAACACCTGCAATCCCATAGATACTGCTGTGTTTATCTTTGTTTCTTGAAAACATTTGACCTAACCAACATCTTACTTAACTGCACCACTTTAACTATATCTTGGCATTTAAGATGTCAGAACCTATCTTGTCTAGGACAAAACCATTTGCTCCTTTGAAGGCTTAAATACCTCCTACTTTGAGGGCCAGTGAGTGAAGCCTGGGACTCTCCCCATGCTGTGTGCTCGTTGTTTGACTTTGTAGGAAAGACCAACAGCCACAGACAAGGGGAACGTGGCTATTCCTTCAAAGGGCAGGAGAGAGAGCTGAAGCAAAGAGGCTCACAAAGCAACACAGAGCTGCTCAGATCACAAACCACTGCTCTTCCCAGACTGTTCTGTTTTAAAGCATTCCAGACAGAAACATTCTGTAACCAAGAACAGAAATTACACAACCACTTCAGAGCTTCGACCACAAGGACACACTAGCGACTCCAGACTCACTAGAGCAAGAGCAGATACTCCCTGTCACTCAAGATGGTACTGCCCATACCTGTTAGCATCCCTGGATTTGGAAAGCCAGGCTGCTGGCATTCCAAATGGACGGACAGCTGAAGCCTGTCTGGTAGCTATGAACAGCTCCAAGGATGCTTCTTTCTCACACGGATAGGCACCAGCATTCCTCCTTTAGCTCACTGTTTTGCTGCTTGTCCCACCAAAATCAGTGGCAGAAGCTAGCTAGTATTTTCAGTACTGTAAATGTGCTAGAAAGCCTGTTCTCCTCTTTCATGTTACTATGTATAATTTTCTTTTGGCACTAAGCTAATGATACTAATTAGATATAGGTTTGAATTAAAACAGTGGATCTGAACAGCATGGAAGAGTAACAGGTGAGCAATGAACAACTGGTATCTGAACTAAAAAAGGCCTGCCTCAGAGCAGGACCAGACTGCTGCTTACACAACCTGGAGCAGAATGTTTTACTGTAAACCTCAGCTGTAAGGGAGTTCTCTTATTTATGTTTAAACAATTTGTTTCAGCATACATAAATCTCATCTGTCACCGTGGCACTCAAAATCCACCCCAACATTTCAAACTGCCCCAAACCCTGTTTCTGATATTGCAGCTAGCCACAAAAATCCAGGAGTTGAGCTGGTCCTATAGAACATGTGTCCCCACACATGGCAAAACCAACATGTGTTGGCACACTCAAAACACTTGGGTCCACCAATTATAAAAGAGGCAACTGACCTTTGCTAGACGCTTCATGTATTTATCCATGATGATCTCGTTAAGTGCCAGTTTTCCCACAAGCCCAGCCGAGCACCTTTGTCTCAGGGAGAGGACAGACGATGTCTGGCAGCCAGCAGCAGGGCTGCGCTGAGCCCCAGGTCCAGCCCCACGGGGAGTGCTCCCCAGGCAAAGCCTCCCAGCAGCTAAGTCAGCACAGCGCCTTCCTTCAGTGCAGTTACTGCTGCCTCTGCCCATCTACTTGGGCAGACAAGTGCAACACAACGGGTGCAGGGATGAGGAAGGCTATTTGCCCCCCCTCACCCCTCCCAAACAATAGGACACTAACGGCAATTTCATGCAACGTTTCCTCTGCATTTCAATGACAATCACCCTTAACTCCCTTGATCCTCAACCAGGCTCTTAAGCAAAAATGTAAATATGTTAATAACCGTAGCAGCCATCTGACCCAGGATCTTAATTCCCTGGCCCAAAACAAGCTATTTTTTCCTATATCTTCCTTATTTTAGAGCCGACACACCATAAACTGAAGGCCCCACAGCAAAACTACAAAACAAAAATAAAGGGAGGTCGCCCTGCAAATTCTGATGGAAATAGGAAATATAGAGAAAATAAAATGAAATCTTAAATTGTTCCTCTTTTAATTAAAGACACATCAGCCACGGCTGAGTGAGCAAGTAGGGTGGAGGCTGGTGCTGCAGACAGACAATGGGTATCTTGGGAAAACGCAGACATTTCACATAGCGCAGCCAGCTGCTCCTCTCCCCCATGGCAAACGGCCCTCTGGGGCATCAGAGCAGCTGGAGAGTCAACAGCTGAACTGGGCACAACATGAGGAGCCTCGGCTGGCTTTAGGATTGTAGATCTGTTGCAGGAACAGCATTTCCTACCATCCGTGGTTTCACCATTGAGGGGCTTTGTCTGGGCATCACCCAAGCCATAAGTTGTCTTCGCAATGGGCAAGGCTCCAGATGACTTCATCTAAACTGGAAGTTGGCTTTGAGCTGGATCAGTCCCTTCAAAATCTGAACCATTCTATGGTCCAGTGGTATCTTCACTTCTGGGAGACATTTGCCCAGCAGTCAGGCCTCCTGGCACTGACCCCAGCTCTGCTCCAGACTAAGAGGTAGATTCTGGAAATAAATTGCCTTGAGCTTCCCCTCCAATTATACAGCAATGACAACTCCTGCCTTATTGCCCACCAGAAGGGAGCTATCGATAACAGGCCTGCTTTCTTGTTCACATGTAGGCCCTTTCTCACCAGAAAGGGGGAGTCAATCACGCACAAAATCTGTTCATGTCCAAAGGTTTCAGAAACCACTCAGAGCTTCGCTGGATTTGAACTCAGACCATTAGATGGCATTGTCTGCAATCTAGGGATGCTAACAAGCTTTGGAAACAACCAGACCATCTCTAGCCTCAAGGGCCATGCCAGAGTTACATCAAGAGTCTTCAAGTCAATACATGGAATTGACAGACTCCAAGTTGAAACTGTGAAGAGACATTTAAGACAGGCATTGAAACTCTCCTCAGGATAGTCACACATTTTACCAGAGCCCATTCTCTACCTTTCTACAGTCTCTGGGGTCATGCTCTGAGTTGATGAGAGGGGGTTTATTGTTTGTAGTTTTTTTTAAAAAAACAAAACAAAACAACAATATGACAACAGTGTATGTAGCATTTGCTGCTTTGATGAAGATTAAAGGAATGACAAGGCAGAAGATGAAAGTCTGCCTTATAATCCAAATGAGAGAGCAAAAAGCAGGAGCTGTTTTAACAGGAGTTTCATCACTGCCTGGTGGTGATGATCTTCTGAGCAGCTTAATGATCCTGCTCTCTATTCCAATGGTGGGAGGCGCATGTGAGAGGAGAAACCCTGACCCAGAAGAAAGGAAGGCCAGTCAAAAGTAAATGCATATCCCTCCACCTTGAAATCTACCCTCTCACTATTAGAAGTCACCTGATCTGAGTTGCCTGAACACGTGTGGTAAAACATTAGCACTGGCTTCAGTGATGCACACTCTTCCCCCATAAATAATGAATTTCTCCACCACTGCCCAGACAATATAAAGTGCTTAAGGGCTATCCAGCAGTGCTTTTAGCACATGTTAGATTGCTTTGACCTGAGGTGAACCCGAGGGCTGAAAACATCACCCAGCTCTCAAAAACCAGATTGCATTTAAGCATGGAGGATAGATATACCCTCACAAACTCACCAAGCAGGGCCCACAGAGAGACCCCCTCCCCAGAAAGCTGCAGTGAGAGAGTACAGAGCTACCCAGCTCAGCATTCACCTAGGCGGGGAGGCGTTCACCGAGCCCATCCCCTGGATTCAGGTGTCTCTCTGCATGAGCACATGGCAAAGTGGAGATGATGGGAGAAGGGATAAGAAGATTCCCTTTTCCTTGGAGAGCGGAGTAGCCTGAAGTACCAGGTCCATCAGCTAGCTGACCAATCTGTAGAGGCATTTCTGTGCTAATTTACTTCTACTGTCTTAGGTGCAAAGACAAGGGAGGGACTACATTACTACCATCTGTTGTAACCTTCTGCAAAAACACTTCATCTGAACAGACACTGGAAGCACAGATTCAAAATGAACGGGAGAATAAAAAGATTCAGGAGTGCACCACTGCTCAGCTGTTGTGCAAACAGAAAAGAGGGCTCTCGGACCAGGTTTGATTCTTGATATTGCCAAGATTTCTGGAGTGAGCCCAGGTTCCTCTTGTTAGTGCCTTGACTTTCCCATCTACAAGGCACAAGCAACACACCTCTGCTGTACGATCTGGCTGTGGAGTGCTTACAGAGCATGACGATAATGGCTGCAATGGCAAAGGACAATTAGCAAGCCACAAGGCCAAGCAGCACAGGGAGAATATGAACTGGCCTTCCACCAAGGTTTAATGTGTAGAAACACATCAAACTTTCCAAAGCTGATGGCAGCTGGACACCACACTGAACTCCTTGACTCCACAGAAGTTCAGATCCCTGGTCCAAGCCACCACAGGCCAAGCAAATCCTGCATTCAGAAATCCCAGGAATTTCTGACTCACAGCTTGCTGGGGAAGCATATTATGCTCAGCCAGGTACCCAAATTCATGTCTCTGTCTCCACACATTTTTACAAATGCAACTCTCTCCCCTATCCTTCCTCTGCCTGTGGGTTTTTTGCTACAAGTCCTTGCTGAGACACTAAGAAAAGACAGAGTTGAGATGCACTCACAGGAACTGTTGAGCTAGCTTTCAGTCCACTGTCACCTCGATGACCCACCGCTCTGAGCGATCCCACCACGTCTCTCCAGATCAGCCTCCTGGCAGAACACTCACAGGAATCAGCCTCCAGTCTCAGCTGAGGAATTACACACAGTGTTCAAGCCACCCGGAACTAAATTATTCAAAATATGCCACTGTGCTGGCTTTGAAACCAAAGCCACTCCCCAGAAAGAAGACAGGGTAAATAGAAGCTCCATTACCAGCAGCACTGACAAGGAAGGAGATGCAGCACTGAAAGTGAGGGAGATAATTACGTGATTAACGAGACAGCATGGATGGCAGGAGGTGCCCTCCATTATGCCACAAGGCTTAATGCAAAGAGACATGTTTATAGACTGAGCCTTCTCCAGCTCTGCTTCTTCCTGTTTTATTATTTATGTAAGTGCATTAAGACTAATGGAAAGAAGCTGAGGCACTCTAAAAAGTGGTGGGGGTTTTTTGGTGGAAATGTAATTTTAAATCCTGATCCAGCACTGGGCACCTTGCACATTCTGCTGGATAGATGCCCTCAGCTGCAGCAAAAGGCTGGGCAGGTGACAGCCCAGACTGGAGAGTCACGTACCCTTCATCTCTGGCTCAGCTCTGGTGCTGACTATCTGCACATTTCTGAGATTGTGGGCAAGGTGAAGCCTAGAAGGGATCACCTAATTACTGCCATGACCAAACCCACTCTAACAGTTAAAACCTATTCTTAAATTCTTAGGCAAGAGATTTAACTCTCTTTCCAGAGCTGCTTGTCAGCACTGGCCCAGACATTGTTATATGTACAAATGTCCAAACTTTTGAATTGCTCTCTCTTTTGAATTCCTCTAGTTTTTAGGGCTCCACAATCTCCCAAAACAATGAGTTCTGCAGTCTAACTAAAATAAAACCCTCTTTTCATCTGGATGGTGTAAGGCCTTGAATATCAAAAGCTGAAAACAGCAATATCCATACTACCATGAAACACAATATTCTCATTCACCACCACATAATTATTGTTTATGTCTTTTTAGTCATGTCTTACTGGAGAATCTCAAAGCCCTGTATCAATATTAATTACAACTCTCAGGGCTTCCACATCATGAGAGGACATAATGTGTAAGCCACTTCATTCAGAGCTGAAATGCAATACACTCTGGGTGGGATGCTGCCATGTATTTGGACTATGAACTCAGTAGAAGGCATAGCATGTAGAGTCAGCCTCACAGCTGGGACACAGACAGGCTCTAATCACTACTGCTACGAGGAAATTAAAGAAAAAAACCAAACTCAACACACAACGGTCAGAAGAGCTGTTCAGCTGGGGCTGTATTTCAGGCCAAGTTCCTGCAGTCAGATCCCTGCTTGCCCCCAGGTTAACTAAATGTACACAAGTATTTCTGTAAAATTTGCTGCTATTGACAATGTCTCCTGTCACAGCAGCGTCTCTGCTGGTACAGATGAGCCTTCTCATTCAAAACAGGGTTTTGGTCTGATACTATCTGAAAAATATAGAATAGGTCATACCAGCGCAAAAGAGTCAGGAGTAGCTGAAATGCTTCTGTTCTGTATAAGGACAAAAGCCCAATGAATTATCTCTATCATATGATGATGATACACTTTCTGACCCAGCAGTAACACTGGAGAATGTTACACAGCAGCTGCTAAAGTTAGACAGTTTCGAATCAGCAGGTCAAGGTAACTTTCATCCAAAAGATTTTTAAAAAACGGTACTAATAATGATTTTCTGCAAGTCTGGGAACACTGAAGGAACACCAAGATCTGCTTTTTACCTTTCTTCCAGCTCTGAATCAGCAATGCAGCACTTCCAACCATGGCTCCAAAACTCCTGTCCAAACTTGGTGACAGGCCCCCACACCGCTCCCAAAACTGCAGGGCTGTGACAAGAAT